GAATATGGAGCTTTAATTAACTTTGAAAGATGAGGTAATTAAACAGCCCCCGTGTCCTGTCTCATGCTTTGCAAAGGCAAAGAAGAGAGACCCAGAGCCTGGAGGCTCTCACTTTGGCAAAAATACTGGAGCCACCTGATGAGCTTTAAAGTTTTCCGTGCCCAGTCTGCACCCCAGACCAATGACGTCAGAATCTGTTGGGTTGGGACCCAGACACCAGGATAGTTTTTTAAGCTCTCAGATTTCAATATGCATCAGAGGCTGAGAATCTCTAGACTGACTGACAGCTGTCGACAGTGATGGGCTGAGAGACAAGAAGAAAGGGAAATGGGTGAGGCCGAGAGACGGAAAGGTCTTCACACCAAAATACATTTCCGCTTTGGAAGGAACCAAGGAGGCTTCAGTCAAGCCAGGTGACACCAAGGGACATTTCCAACCTCTAAGGAAGAGTTCTGTTATGGGATGAACTGTGTGTTCCCCCAAAAATGTTGAAGCCCTAACCCCCAGTACCTCAGAATGTGACTGTATCTGGAGACATGGCCTTTAAAGAAGTAATTAAGTTAAAATGAGGCCATTAGGATGGGCCCCAATCCAATATGACTGATGTTCTTATAAAAAGAGGAAATTAGGACAGACAAAACACTAGGGCGCCCATGCACAGAGGGATGGCCCTGTGGCGGGGCAGCAAGAGGCCACCATCTGCAAGCCAAGGACACAGGCCTGAGAGGAATCCAGCCCTGCCAGCACCTTGATCTTGGACTTCCAGCCTCCAGAACTGTGAAAAATAATTTTCTGTTGTTTAAGCACCCAGTCTGTGGCATTTCATTATGGCAGCCCAAACAGACTAATACATTCCATGTCAGCTCTTTGGCCATATGTGTTAAGAGTCTTACAAGAGTTCCTCCTCTGGCTCAGTATCTCCACTCTACCCTATAAATTAACCAGGAATGGCCTTAAAGAATTATCTGCTAAGATGTCCATAGAATATTCTGTATAGTTGTGGCTATTGGAAATGTTTGACAGTGGGAGAATGGAGAAGTAAACGATAGCAGTCGATTCAACCGAGCAAGAGGAAGCCATTCAGCTAAAGAGATTTTTAAAGTGGGACCTTCAGCATGACCTCTCATTATATAAAAGTGCACTGATCTTGACCTTGATCAGGAATCTCATCCTAAGATCTCTTCACCCCCTCCCAGGATGCTGGCCATGTGTCTACTTTCTTTGACATCCAACATCTAGGTTACCTACAGGTAAGCCCCTGTCCCCAACACATATGGACACACACAGAGCCTTCTAACTTTCCAGTTTGTACCTCTGCCTACCCATCTCTATCCCAAACCCATACCCAGATGTATAGATCTGAAGACATGTGTTGAGCTGAACTGCACTTTACATATATGTAAGTTATACGTCAATTTTAAAAGTATTTTGAAATGAAGAAGAAAAAAGCTGGAAGGTAATATGATATGGACACAGGTGATTGATAGAGGGTCTGTGGAGCCGGGAGAGACTAGGGCTGGAGGCTCAGCTTGACTTGGGTCAGGGAAGGCTTCCCCTGAGAGGTGGCTCTTGTGCTAAGGCTCAAAGGCTCCGAGAATGAATGGGGGAGATAGAGTGTCTCATTCTTGTTCATAGGTTCAGAGGCAGGCCATTGGGGGATGCATTCAGGTGGAGAAGGTGGAGAGCACTGGCCCGGACAGGGGCGTGGAGCGTTCTGGGAGAGGATGAGGGACCTGACAGAGTCTGCAGATGGGTTGGTTGTCTGCTGTGCTGATTCCAAGAAGGATTCTGGCATGTCAGGTCAAGTGATCTGTGTTGTCAGTGATCTCAGAGAGGGGCCAGGCTGCCATGCCAGCTGTGAGGTGCAGGGGGGAACTCAGGCGAGGGGCAGAGGTGGAGTCAAGGGTCCAGATGTTGTGGCTGAGGTCCTGAGTCCCTGTAATTCGGGGTAGAGATGGGTGGGCCAGGCACAGACTGAAGGGCTAGGCTCTGTGGGTCTGTGTGTGTGTGGAGGGGAAGCAGAAACTGATAGGGAACTTAAATTTTGGGAACCAAAGAAGATAGTCAAAGTGGGATGGGGTGAGAAGATCTCAGGACAGGGTTTTGGGTTGTGACCTTGAACCCAGGCTAGCTCAGGGGTTCTTGGCTCATCTGTTTTCTCCTTTCTCCTTGTTTGCTTTTATAAGATCGGATTTGAAAGGATTCTTGGAGACTCCCCCTCCTCATTTTATTTGATTTTATTTTGTAATGACCTTTTATTTTTCCCCCTACACTTGCCCCAATTTACAAAGAGCAACTCTGAGGCCCAGAGAAGGGTAGAGAGTTGAGAAGGACAGGGAATGTGGGTCGGTTAAGTGATGTAAACCAAGCACGTAAAGGGCCTAGCAGTTGTCCTGCACTTGGCCAGGGGCCAGCAGGCCCACTCAGGCTCACTTCAGAGCAGCCTGGACCAGGAGGATCTCAGAAGAGACCCTGCCCCCGTCATCCAGAGAGACCCTGAGCCAGTCATTTCAGGACTGTGACCCAACTCTGATGCAGAAATGGGCCTGGTATATTCACACAGATCAGCAGCAGTTCCTTCTGAATTTCTGTGGGGTATTTTGCTTGGTTTTTTTTTCTCAATTATCCAGATTACTAGGTGAATTCCCATGATTAAAGGGTCTGCATTTTGTGAGACCAGCTGTCAAGAGGAAGTGAGCACACGCTGGGCTTGCCCACCGGCCAGTATTTAGTTGGCAGACGATGGTGGGGCCCCCCAAATGCCACTTTCCACCTTCTCATGAATTAATTTCTCCTCACTGTGTAAACAACAGGGCTTTATAAATGCAACTCTCTCCTTAATGTTTAAGTACATTTGCTCTCATAATGAGCCGAGACCCCAGTAACCACTCTGCAGTGTAAACCAGCCCTCTTCTCCCAACAAAGCCATCCCTTGGTTTCTGATGCTGGAGGGATTGGAGAGGCAAGTTTGGGACTGCTGGGTTGGGGGTCTTTGGAAGGAGGACAGATAAAAGAGATGTGCTGTGGATGAAGACATGTGTCTGTGTGTCTGCATGCAATTGTTTGGTGAGGTGTATACACGATGAGGGATGCACCACAGAGGGGGAACCTCATCGTCCACCTCTAGGCCTTTACCTCTGCCGCTCCTTCCCCCAGCATCCTTTCCTCTCACCTCTCTTCCAGCAAAATCCTACCATGTTCAGCAGCCAGCTCAGTGAAGCCTGGCTGGACGAGTGGACAGCAAAGAGCTCAAACTCCAGGACAGGGCAGACCCCTCAGTGACAATCCCACGTTCAGGGCCACCATCAGGGCCACCTTGTTCTGGCACCAGTCACTCATCCTCTGTGGTCCCCCAACACTTTGCACATTTCTGTGCCTTATTTTAGAACAATAAGCACTTAAGTTACAGAATTAAATGCATTCTAAGTTCCATTCTTTGTAAAAATGAAAACAAAACTTTATATATATGTGTGTAAGTAGATATTTGGGAATATGTGCATATGTATAAAGAAATATGTCTCTGTATATTCATGGAAAGAAATCGGAAGGACACCTACTAAATTGTTCCTCTTGCTTATCTCTAGGAAGTGGGTTTGGTTTCATATGAAGTATTGTTTGAACTTATTACGAGCATGTATTAGATTTTTAAGCTTTTAACTAATGTCTCTGAAGAAGAGATGGTTTCCTGAATTTGATCTGTCCTCTCCCTTTGCTGGACTTGCCTCTGCTCCCCGTGCCAGCCCAGGTCAGGGCAGAGTGCAAAGTGGGCAAATGTTTGTGAAGTGAATCATGGAACATGCAAGGGTGAGCCCTAGCCAGCCCTCCACGGGGCAGGGACATGATACTGTTGCATCACAGTGCTGGAAGGGTGTTCGTGTGTCCTCAGGAAATGTCTGTTGAATGAATGAACGATGAATGGGTGAACAAATGAATGAATGAGAATCTAATCTAAGTGATCACAGAATCTGAATTTGTGTGCCTGAATTAATAGTTTTTTAATGTATTAATATTGGGAACCAAAGAAACAATGAAGTAGAAGATACCAACTGAATGCATCCTGGAAATGTGTTATCAATAGGTGTAAAATTTTTTTCATTATAAAGTAACAGAACTATACTTTAGAAGTTAGAAAAATAAAGAAGAAAAGGGTATAATCACCCCACACTAACATATCTACTCTGTACTTTCACACAGCTCCTTTAGGCTATGTGAATGCGTGCACATTTACCAAATCTACATGTTACATAGTGGACTACTCACACCATTTTTTATCATGCTCAAAAAAAAAATTCTATATCCTAAGCCTTTTTCATCCTATTATAAAGTCCCCAACTATTTTATGAGTGCAGTTGACTCCATTAAGGGAGCAGTATCATTTATTTAGCCAACCGTCTGTTGTTATATTGAAGTAGTTTCCCTTTTGTAATACAGCATAGTATTAATTTTTTAATTACTAGCTTTTGCCCATTGTCTTATAATTTTACTCTGGGGTGACATTCAGAGATGCTTGGGCACCTCAGGTCCATGTCCCCAGAAGCAAAGGAGAGCTGAGCAGTCTCAAAGTGGCTGGACCACAGATTATTACCAGTCCACACAAGATAAGGAGCTTACACCAGAGAGTCAATCACTGCTCCCTTCATTGAGAAAGTCTTGCTGCAACGAAAAGTCAAATGAACTAAACAGTGAGCTCGGTGACACAGCGATGTACATTCTGGTGCAAACTCCTGATTCATTCATGGATATTTAACCAAGAATTTTCAGACTAGTGCTGGTCTATAGGTCACTTTCTGAGTAGTACTTGTTTGTACAGCTTCTTAGAGCACAAGTGGATTTTGTGGGAAAGTTCACCTCTGGATGGATTCGTGGTTGGGTTTTGGAAGAGAATAACTGTCCCTCCCCTAAGCCTGGTGTTGTGCTGTAGCCTTCCAGTGCAACAACACCTAAAGGATGCCCCATCCCGCAGTCCTGCTGCCCCCATGCTTTTGGGGGTTTGCATTGTGTTCCTGCAGGGTGCATGGGCTCACACAGGTTGTAGATCTCCTGTGCACCTCCATACACTTGTGTGAACAGCCAGGGCTGCCCCTGGAAGGAAGGAGAACAGGGCAATTCAATCAGAGAGGCCACCATGACAGTTGTGCTGTTGGCATGTTTCACAGGACCCTTAGGATAGTGTTAAAGACAGAAGTTTTTCAATTAAATTTCAATTATTCTTGGAAAAGAGGAAGGATTTTCAGAATTTTAAGCTGGAAAGTGACATGGTCAGGTTTGCATTGTAGAAGGAGCAAACCACTCTGTGGAGAATAGACTAGAGGGGGTGAGACCAGAGGTAGGAATTCTAGTGGGAAGGTCAGAACTAGACCAGTAGGCTTCACCCTCCCACGTCCACATGCTGGCCACAGCCTCCTCATGAGAGAGTGTACTCACCTAGGCCTGGCCTTTGGGCTTGGTCTTGTGACTTACTTTGGTCAATGGAATGGGGCAGAAGTGACTGGATACCAATTCTGAGACTTGACCTTAAGAAGCCTCACATGTTTCTGCTTGCCCTGCTGTATCTCTGCCATCACCAGGAAGAGGATGTGCCAGGTAGCCCGCTGACCCTGGAGGACGAGAGACGTGTGGAGCAGAGCCACTCTTCCTACTTGCAGACTCACAAGCCAGCCCAGCTGAGGCCAGCCAGGCTGCAGAGCCACGAGGAAGCACTGCCTGCTGCTGTAAGCTGCTTGTTAGGCAGCATCGCTGTGGCAGCCGGTAGCTGATACAGTGAGACGCGAGGAGTGACCAAGCCGAGGAGCACTGAGGAGAGCAGATGGAGTTAGTGGTCAGCTGGGTGTGTGGGTGAGACTGACGGAGATTCTCGGAGGGCTCGGGGTTTGGGCTCAGGTTTCCGGGTGGTAAAGGTGCAGTGCCGGGGGTGGAGGGCACAGGGGTGGAAGGACAGGAAGTGACCTCCCACGTTAGAGTCACATCAGCAGCTCCCTCTCACTTCCCCTGAATCTTTCTTTGTCTCTGTTTCCAGGGGAGACCAGGGCCTGTGTTGTCAGGATAAGCCCCTCAGGGGCTGAAGCTCTGAGCGGGATTACATGCATGCCTGCCACACTCAGTGTATGCAGGGACCTCCATCTTTGTCATCAGTATCTCCTCCATTACAGACCCATTCAGACAAGCCCTGATTTGGAAAAGGGGGTGAATTAGGGTTCACAGCAATGGGGGCCACTCAAGAAAGGCCCTGAGATTTCCTAGGGCTTCCTGCAGAGAGTACAACCTATTCTCATTACTTTCATTTACTTAAAATAACTGCCTTTGCAGCAGTGAAACTGCCCAAAATATTCACTTCTTTATTTCCAGCTGGACAAGCTGAACTCAATTTGCATTGGATAATTATTTTCAATTAAGTGATAACAATCCTGTTTTGTGCAAAAATAATCTTGTCCAAAGGCCAAACAGTTTATCTCATCCAAGAAACAAGGAGGCAGTGACAGTGGGAGACCTATCAGCATGCTCTCCCTGCAGTGGAGGGATCCCCCAGCCGAGTCCCTCGGGGAGCACCTCTGACCCCATGGACCCAGTGGGACCATTTGCCACGTCTGCCTCTGAGCCCCTGCACTGCAGCCGCTTTTTTCTGCTTTGAAGTAAAAAGGAAGCACCTCCTGACAACTATCAGGTGCTAGAAAAGGCAGCTGGTGCAGAGACAGGCCCAGAACAGAGGCAGGAGACCTGAGTTCCAGACTAGCTGTATGTCCCCAGGCAAGTCATCTCTGTTCTGGACCTCAGGACCTCTGTATGGGGGAGCAGCGAGGTTAGATGTATGAGACTGCTCCAGCTCAGACGTTCTGTGATTCTGTCGCAGTCACCCTGAGCTGCCTAGGTTTAGAGTCAAGTTTTCTATAGGAAACCAGCTCTGCAGCCAAGCCCCACTTCCTGGGTATTCTGTGTACTGCTGACTTGGTGGTTCATCCCCACCAGGCAGAGGGAGCAGGGACTGAGTTCTGAAGCCTCATTCAGGAGGAGCTTGTTCAAGGCTACTCATGTGTTCAGGAGCGGATAGCTCCCGGCCAGGCGCTTTAGGAGTTGGAGCACTGAAACTCAAAAGATCACAGAGCTGGGAACCTCCCTAGGTCCCAAACCTGTAGCAACGGAGCACTCACTTCCTCTCCAGCCAGCCATTTGCCATGCCATCCTTTGTCTGAAAGGCCTCCCTGCCTCCCCAGGACACACATGCCTTGGGTCCTCCTGTGTGGTCTCTCCTGTCCACCCACCCTGCCGACCTCAACCACTGCCTGGCCAGGCCTTGATATCAGGTTTAAAGTAGCCATGGTGCTGTTCCCTTTGTTGTACAGCCAGCACAGCCAGCCAGACCCAATCCTCCCCACACCGTCTGATATCTGATGTTGTGCCCGAAGGTCAGTGTGTGCAGGTTATCTCAAGCCCATTATCTCACTCACCCCTATTTGGTGTATCTTATATAGCTCTCTGTAGAGCCACATGGGCCTGCAATTCTCATTGCTTTATGGAGACGTCATATTCCTGCATCCGACTAGAATTCCTTACTCCCCTTTACAGTCCTCTCTACTGCTGCAAATCTGTGTAAACTCCTCCCCACTGACACATTTCCTGCAAACATCTCCACCAGTGTCTTCTCCTTCTTCCTGATACCACATTTTCATCACAAATCTAAAGGTAGACACATTTATAGCTATGCATGGAGACTCTTCTCTAAGTCCATAAAGTCCTAACTGAACTTGAACTTGGTTAGATACATCAAGAAAACAAAACACACAGCCCCAAAACCTCTTCCCCAAACTGAGGCAGATCAGCTGAGCCCCAGCTCTGTGCAGGTGGCAGTGCAGCCCCGCCGCCCCCACTGGCCTCCTGCCCCCCCACCCCACTTCCTCCCCAGGGGACCTCAGAGAGGCCTGGGGAACAATTTGGGAGAAACATGAGGAAGCCACGACAGCACGTGCAGGGCTGACTATTTTTATACAACCCACTCAGCCCTGAAGAAGGAGATCAGTGTTTGCATGAGGCAGGGAGAGAGAAGAGGATAATGTTTTTGATATATTAACTGATATGAATTATTTATTCTATAAATATTTGCTGATATGGAAAGATGTTTATAAATATTTGTTTATGTGGAAAGAGTTCATGTTGCTAAGTGAAAATGACAATACATATGATCCCATTCTTGGGGGAAAAAGAAAAACTACCTTCCTGCCCACCCTCGTACTGTTACTTACGTAGAAAGAAGAGAAGATTGAGTAGGTCCAGACAAAAAACTGATGTCAGTTTTTGTGCCCAGTACTTCACATATTTCATGCTTCAGGAGCAGGTGATGGAAGAAACCAAGTGGGGTAAAAAAGCCCAGCAATAGTTTTTGTGATTCAAAAACCAAAGCTCTAGGTGTGTGAACTTCACCACCCACTCAGAAAGCCTGGAGCTCCGGAGGACTTTGGGCATAGGCTTTATACCATCAGCAGTAGCTCTAAAGGATACTGCTCAGAAAAGCCAGCTTTTCCCTCCTCCGTCCTCCCCTAAGACTCGCTGAAGTTCCCCCAGGCTGGAGGAGGAAGGGGAATGGAGGGGAAGCACAAAAGTGTAATGCTGGTGGCGCCTCTGAGAAGGGGCCTGTCCCTGCCGCCTCACTGGGGAACTTGGCCTGAAAGCGGGGATGATAATAGCCCTCCATGAGCTGGGAATCTGAGAGCAGCAGGACGGCAGCCTTGCTGCCCTGCTGGGTGGAGGCAGCAGGGGGTTGAGACAGCTGCACAGAACGTTTAGGCAAACCTACTGGACAGCTGTAAAGACTGAGCCAGGGAGCAAAGGCTCCAGTGTGCCTGGGGGCGCCAGGCTCTTTACCAGGTCCCACACCGGTCCCTGCTGTCCCTCTGCTTTTCCAGCCTTGGCCAGCACTCTTCAGAGCTCAGACAGTCCTACCGTTGGATGGCCAGGTTTGGGGAAGGTAGGAGGGCTCCATGCTGGGGGATCCTGTGTACTCGCTGGTGTACAGCTCTCCTACTGATCACTTACCGATGAGGAAACCGAGGCTCAGAGTGGTTACGTGGTTTGTTCAAGTCACGGAGTGGAGTTCAGACCATGGTCTGACTTCTTGTCAGTTTCAACTGACTTCAACCTCCACATTCTCTTCTCTACTCAATGGAGAAGAAAAGAGCAGAGGTAGCAGTGCCACCTTGTGTGCCCTCAGGCAGCCGGAGCCCTAAAGCCAGACAGGACTGGAGGAGGGAGAGAAGAAACCACCAGAGCCACCATATCTCTTAAGTACAGTTTGCTGAATTCAGATTAGACGGCACAATCTCCATGAATAAAATTACAGTTCCCGAAGGGATCACGTCCAATTTAAATGTATAAGAGGCCATTAATGGGCCAGGCTGGCTGTTAGAATTTAGCGCTGGTGTCATTTGCAGTGTGGTTCTGCTATTATGTGAGGGGCACTGGGGATAACAAAAGTGTGAGGCACACGTGGCCCTAGGCTGGCTGGGTGCTGAGGACCACAATCCCCCAAGAAGCTCCAACTTGCCTTCCTGAGGGTTAGCAGAGCTTCCCTCTGTCTGTCTGAGGTCAGATACCCTTCCCCAGCCCAGCCCCACCCCCCTACCCAGCTGAGTGACCTTGAAACACACTGCAGGTGGGGTCCCTGAAGCTGACCCTGACGGAGTTCAGCAATGAGGAGGTTCCCCAGATTGACACCTGAGGAAGGGAGGGGAGGAAGCAGAAGTGGGCAGAGGGTAGAGTCTAGCTGCCAGGCAGGCTCAATAAGGAGGCTGGCCCCTGAAGGTAAGAATATCAAGGTGTCTGGAGTTCCACGGAGCAGAGTGAGGCCTTAGTAGCCCCACATAGGTCAGTCCCCAGATGTGGGCACTCCAGGAAGGGCTGGGACCCTGGGCTGGGCCAGTCTCTGCAGCTGCAGCCCCCTGAGGCCAGGCAGCTGGTCCTCCATGGAAGAGGATCTTGGTGAGCAGCAGTGATCAACAGACACTTTCCAAGCTGCACACATCTGTCCCACAGGGGTAATGTTGACCCTGCCTCAGGGCCCCAGGGCAGGAAGAGATAATGCATGTGAAGCCTAAGCTCAGGCCCCACACAGTAAGGGCTCAAAAGGCGTCAGCCCGCCTGTGTTCCATCCCCACCCAAATCCCAGGATGACCTGCACTCTCCTCCTTTGGCCTTGCACTCCCTCCCCAGCACCCACAAAGGGTCCAGCCTCTCTTGCACACCTCCACTGACGGACAGATCCCTCCCCACGTCAGCTCAAGTTATTGTGAACAGCTTTGTGGTTGTTAATTGTGGTAAATATATATAGCATAAAATATACCATTTTAACCATTTTTAAGCATACAGTTTAGTGGCATTAAGTACATTCCCATTTTTGTACAACTATCACCATTATACATCTCCAGAACTATTTTACCTTTGCAAACTGACTCTCTAGACCCATTAACACTAACTCCTCATTCTCCCCTCCCCCAGACCCTGGCAGCCACCACTCTACTTTCTGTCTCAATTAATTTGACTACTGTAAATATCTTATATAAGTGGAATCATGCAATATTTGTCTTTTTATGCCTGGCTTATTTCACTCAGCATGCCTTCAAGGTTCATCATGTTGTAGCCTGTGCCTGCATTTCATTCTTTTTTATGGCTGACTAATATTCCATTGTAGGTATATACTGAATTTTTTAATTTATCCATTTATCTGTTGATGGACCCTTGGATCATTTGCACCTTTTGGCTATTGTGCATAATGCTGCTGTAATCACAGGCGTGCAAATATCTCTTTAAGTCCTTACTTTCAATTCTTTGGAGTATATACCCTGAGGTGGGATTGCTGGATTATATGGTAATTCTAGGTTTAAGTTTTTGAGGATGTACCATACTCTTTCCCACAGCACCTGTACCATTTTTGTTGAATGGCTCTGACTAGAAAACTGTCTTAAGTTACACTAGACTCTGCATCCCTGTGACTTCCTCACTGGCCCTGGGTTTGCCCTCAAGGCCACATCCCTCATCTGCCCACTATGTCCTGGGTTGGCCCTGCTGAATCTTGATGACAGCCTGCAGCCCCACTGAGCTGTCTCTGCTGTGGGCAGGTCTCCCCCATGTCCCATGCCCCTCACAGTTGGCTCCACTGGGCGCACACTTCTCTGGGGGCTCTGCCCCTACTACTTCCTGCACAGAGCACATTTTCCCTTGAGAAATTACCCAAGGCTGGGAGCATCCAGGCCGCCCTGTTGCAGGGAGAGGGGGCCTCAGCATTGGGAATGAGCTGGCCGTGGCAAATTGATGAAACCTAATCCCTTACCTCAGACCACCCCACCCACCTTCCAGCTGATTCTCTCCCCCAAACCTGCTCCTCTCCCTCAATCCCCCAGCCGCACCAGCCTTCCATCTGCTCTCTTCCCAGCTCACAGCCCTCCTCATTCTCACCACTCAGGTCTCAGATCGAAAGTCACCTCTTCAAGGAGACCTTCACTGACCACCCGGAATGAAGTCCCCCACCTGCATCCTTTCTACCAACTCACCTGCCTGACTTCCTTCACCTCACTCACAACTGTCCTCTGGCAGGTAAGTCCATGAGGCTGGACCTCTGCTCGTCCCAGCTCTGTCCCTGTGCCCAGAAGGTGCCTGGCACAGAGAAGACACTCAGTGCAGCTGTAGAATGAAGGTGTGAATGCCAAGAGCTGGTATCTCCCCCACTCTCTCCTCCTGCCTGGGAGTCAGGACCTGGGATTCTCACTCTCCTCAGCTGTAACCTGCAATAAATGGACCCAATCATCCTAATGCTTCTCCCTGCTTTTCTGAGTCTCCTCAATTCATTATCCCTGCTAAACCAAAAAAAAAAAAATACCTTTAAACAGAAGTATAAGCAAATCCTCCCGGGAAATTCTGAAGGCATTTTACACATTTAAAGAGGTAACATAGATTTAAATTTTAAATTTTACTCTGCTCTGTCAGTTTCCTAGGTAAGACTGAAATTTCCTTTGATATTCAAAAATCTTTAAAATATCTAACCTCAGCTTCTGAAAGGACTAAGTCTCTTCTCCCTCCATTTCCAAAGACTCCTGATTTCCCTGTCCTGAGACATTTTCACCTTTAAGTCCACCCAGGGGGACAGTGTGTGTGTGGTGAGAGAAGTTATGTCATCGTTATCAACAACAATAAAACCAAATCGCCCTTCAGTGGGGAATGGGTGGGACCACCGCTCCTCCAGTTGCCCCTCTCAAGGCAGCTGCCCCAAACATCGAACCCGCATGTGCTCGCGCTCAGTGCGCTTTCAGCATCCAAGAGAAGGGTGCCGTGATGGTGCTTCTACTGCAGAGCAGTGAAGCCAGTCCAGACCCAGGGCAGTGCAACCATCACAGGACACTCATGCAGGGGCTCAGCCCACAGCAGGCTGGGCCCAGGGGGGCAAGTGAGGAAGTGGAGGCCCTCGCTCTGCTCTCCTGGCTGCGGGAGGGCAGGCTTGGCCCGGGGAGCGAGTGCCTCCTTCCACTGCCCCGTTCACGTGGGCTTGCCTCACCCTGGCCCAGCCTGGTCCACAGCCTTGCTGGAGGCTGGGCGCTGGTAGGAGGAATACCAGATGCAGCTCAATGGATACAAATCTGACTTCTATCTCTGCCACCAAATGTGGAACAGGCATACTTCGACTCTCCTGATTTATAAACCAAGAGGGTTGGATCACTTCCAAATTTCTCTCTCTGCATGATTTCTCCTTTATTCCTGGCCTTGTTGTAGCCCTGAGGTGGGAGTGAGGGAGACCAAGATGAACAGGGTCATGTGGGGACCCCTTCCTCTGTGAGCTCGAAGTTTGGACAAAGAGATGAAATATGGGCATGAACGCCACATGGCTGGAAGGAGACTTGAATGAGGCCCAGGGACATGTTCTGGAAGCTCAAAATGGAGTTTCCAGCAGGGAGACCAGAGCTGCTTCCCAGAGGAGAGGACTAGAGCTGAGCCTGCTGCATTTGGGGGAAGTGCATATGCTGGGATGGATGAGGGGAAGTCATCACAGAGGAGGATGGGTGGAAGATGGCCAGGCCAGCAAAGTGGTCCAGGAGGAAGTCCAAGTGAGAAAACAAAGTGAGTTCCTTGGTGTCCCAGTGCTATGAAGCAGAAAAGAAAGGGTTTGGGGGGTTGCACATTGTGGGTTCAAACTGAATAAAGGATTTTTTCTAACTCGTAACAGTAGCTGGTCTTCGGGCCCAATAAGGGGCTTATTCTGGTGCTGGCATGGATGACCGGGTAGCATCCTCCAAAGAAGCAGGTCTTGGGCCCATTGCCACCTCCAGCATGAGAGTCCCGAGTGGGGACCAGCCTGTCCCCTATTTTATAAAGAGGCATTTTTGTAAAAGTTACAAAACACCATCACAAGAAATTTGTAAAAGAGTAAAGAGAAAAATAAAATTACTCCCATCCTTCCCTTCAGTCACCCCTGAGATACTGGGTGTGTGTCTGTCTAGTATTTTCTGTAAGTGTGAGTGGGTGTGGGCTACTGCTGTGAATCTTATATCCGTATCGCATAGTGTGGATCCACATGCCTCCTTCCCCCCGCCAATAATATCTCTTTTTCCATCAGTTGCTGCTAAATAACAATCCAATTCAAAATTCATGGCTTAAAACAAGATTTACTGTGGCTCATGAATCTGTGGGTCAAGTGGGCAATTGTACTGATCTCCTCAGGCTCAGCTAGTGTGGAATGGGGTTGTTTACGCATCTGTGGTCAGCTGGTGGGTCAACTGGTGGGTCTAAGATGGCCTCATTCTCATGTCTTATGACTGGTCAGCTATTGCCTGGCCCACAGGGGTGACTAGGCCACATGTCTCACCCTCCATCGCATTCCACAGGTCACAGCAAGTCACAAAACCAGCCCGGGCTCAGGGTTAAGGGTGTGAATACAGGGAGGCCAGTAATCAGAGCAGCAATTATCGCCATCAGTCTACATACTCCTAATTTTAATTTTTGATGGCAGTAGAGTTTCTCATAGATGTACCACTTTTCATAGATGTACCATTAAATGGGAATACCATATTTAATTTGTCTACAACTTTTCTCTAATAACACTTAAGTGAATAACTCTGTAGAGCCTTAATTTTTGAGGTTAAGAAAAACAGTGTTTCCCACCCTTAATCAAAAACCCAAAGTTAAGTGAGAAGATTGAACCAAAGTGTTCCCAAGGCCCCTTACAAGCAGCACCACCTGCACATCTTCCTAAGTTCCTTATCTAAACAAATTCAAACAGGCCAGACCAAGACTCTCAGACCCAGTTCTGGCTGTTGAAATCACTTTCAAGAGTCCTTGTGGATCTTTGGGCTTCAGTTTCCCCATCTATAAAACTACAGGTTTGGACTAAATGGTTGAAGGGATTGGACTAGAACAGTATTTCTCAAATGATATCACTCGGGTCTAAAAGCCAAACAGATGCCAGTGACAACCTTCTTACATGTATTTTTAAATACATGAGAAATGCACAAGGCACACTGGCATCATTCTTCCTGCCCTGCAGTGACCCACCTTTAAGACATGGTGCCACATATAAAGCAGAGGGAGCAGTGAGAGAGGTGCCCGCCTGGCACGTGCGAGGGTGATGTTAGATGTGTGTATCCAGGCCAGGCAGCCATCACAAGGCTGCCAATGATTGCTGGTTTCTGTCCTGTGTCTTGTCTTGTAATTTCAACACGCATTTGTGACCTTGCTTGATGTTCATTGTCTGTTAAATGCACTACAAAATTTAATTCCCTTGGTTTGTGGCTAAGCAAAGGAGCTTTTAAAAGAAAGATGTGTGCATTCTAACTCATGAGCTTTTGTTACCATTTATTTTATCTTTTTAGATTAGTTTTAGATTCACAGCAAACCTAAGAGAAAGGTACAGAGATTCCTCACATACCCCCCCTCACACACATGGAGCCTCCCTTATTAGCAACATCCTGCACCAGAGTGGTACGTTTTTAACCAAAGATGCTCCTACACTGACATGTTATAATCACCTAAAGTCCATAGTTATCCTTAGGGTTCAGTCTTCGTGGTATACATTCTATGGGTTTGGACAAATGTATAATGACATGTTAACCATCACCATGGTGTCATATTGAGTATCTTCACTGCCTGAAAAATCCTCTGTGCTCTGCCTATCCATTCCCCTATGCCCACCCCCACCTCCTGCAACCACTTGTCTTTTACTGTCTCCATAGTTTTGCCTTTTCCAGAATGCATATAGTTGGAATCATGCATCATGTAGACTTTTCAGATTGTGTTCTTTCACATTTAAGATTCCTCCATGTCTTTTCATGGCTTTTTAGCTCAATACTTTTTAGTTCTGACTAATACTTCATTGTCTGGAAGTACCACAGTTTATTTATTCATTTACATTTTGGTTACTTCCAAGTTTTGGCAATTATGAATAAAACTGCTATAAACATCCCTATGCAGATTTTCACATGGACATAAGTTTTCAGCTCCTTTGGTTCAATACCAAAGAGTACAATAGCTGGATCCTGTAGTAGGAGCATGTTTAGTTTTGTGAGAAACTGCCGAACTGTCTTCCAAAGTGGTATTTTGCATTCCCACCAGCACCGAATGAGAGTTCCTGTTGCTCCCAGCATTTTCCAGCATTTGCTGGTGTCAGTGTTCTGGATTTCAGTCATTCTAATGCATTTGCTGTTGTCAGTGTTTTGGATTTCAGTCATTCTAATAGGTGTGTAATGGTATCTCATTGTTGTTTGAATATGCATTTCCCTGATGGCAAATGATGTGGAACATTATTTCATATGTCTATTTCTCATCTGTTTGTCCTCTTTGGTGAGGTGTCTGTTAAAATTTTTGGCCCATTTTTTTAACCAAGTGGTTTATTTATTTATTTTTGTCATTGAGTTTTAGGAGTTCTTTGTATATTTTAAATAGCAGTCCTTTATCAGTTATATCTTTCACAGATAGTTTCTCCCAGTCAGTGGCTGGTCTTGTTGACACTTTAAAGAGCTCCATGAATCAAATAGGTAAATTCTGAGTACACTTTGAGCTCTAACATCCTAGAGAAGAAGTGGGGAAGGGATACCTGCTTTCTCTTTTCCAGCTGGGTTCAGAAGTTGACCGTTCTCACAGACTGAAATGGGCAAGGCTGCCCAGTGGTACTTCTCAAGAGCCTCTGCTCATGATGGCCTCATGCATTGCAGAGACCCTGGGGATGGAACTGCAGTGTCCTGATTAGAGGCTTTTCCTGCCTGGTCTGCTGGAAGAGGTCTTTCTGACTCTTTGCAGTGGATGTATGGCTTGTTTGCCAGTCTCCTTGAGAGAACCACTCCTCCCCAACTCCATGAGGCTGTCAATTATGGTAGCTCCACCCTCCAGTCCTACCTCTAAGGTAGATGATCTCAAGGACCACACTGCCCTGTCCCTCAGCACAGTGATTGGTTCAGGAGTGAGCATGTGACTCAAGCAGCCAATCAGAATCCTTTTCTGGGATTGTTGTATAGTTCTGGGAGAAAAGGAGGTTTCCTCTGGAAATCCTTGTTGCCAGGAGGTTGTATGTCTGGGCTTCCTCCCACTGTCTTGCCTAACTCATGGAAAGAAGA